TAAATCACCTATCCCTTAATTAAAAAAAGAAGTGGGATGAGGTTTATAGATTTTGATGACCAGAAGATACCAGTCCAAAGTGGCCTCATAATTCTTGGGAATTTGTAGGAATTATAGTTATCCAGAATGAGGACTGCCTTGGGCCAGAATGGCTTCCCCAGAGCCACACAGAGCCAATCTTCTTGGACTAGCCATCCCTAGATCCTTGCTCTTAAGCAGCCAGAAGTTCATTCTTAGAAGATGGGTGGGTTTAGGGTAAGGAGCCTCTGATTTCATTGCTTTCTAGAAGATTGCAAAAACTTGCAGGTTGAAGTTGGAACTGACCCATTTTGACCTAGAGAAAATTAGGAGAAGAAAGCCCAATCTACATTCTGGAGTTCTCCAAGTGGCTCTCCCTTAACGCCACAGCTAACACACTCTGCCAGCCTGATGCTGGCACTTTTGATTTTAGAGGACAGAGAGGTAGGTTTCAATCTCCTTTTAAGGAGTGTCTTTCAGAGACTCTAATGCTATTTCATTCAAATCAGAATTGTCTCCTTTAATGAAAATTTAAGTAACAACTGTAAAAATAAAACAAAGATTTTGTAGAGTAGAAAAATTCCTTGTAGAGCCATTTGCTCCAGGGTGCACACACAGGATGGAAAAGGTCAGGTAAACTGCAAAACGTGTTAGACAAATCGTGGTGTTTGTACACTGATAGAGACGGTGAATGCAGAGACTGTTTTCAAACTGTAAACATTGAACATTTGCCAATTTCTTATCTTAATCTGTGCTCCACTCCACCTCACCTCTCCAACTCATGTAAGTAAGTTTAATTTAAACTTTATTAGATTCTCAGAGAGGATAAAAGAAGTAAAATAGAAAAGAATGTGAAAAGGGGAGAGGGAGAGTTCTTGACTGGAGTAGATATTTATAATAACACAGATAAGCATTCCAAGTTAAGAAGAACCTTAGCAATGAGCTAGTCTGACTCTTTTCTAACATATCAGTCCCTCTGCAACCTCTCTGCTCATCTAAGTTTGACTTGAATACCACTCGAAAGGGCACTCACCTTCTCCCAAGATAGCCTAATCTATGCATAAAAAACTTTAATTCTTAGAAATGTCTTTTCAATAAAGAATGGATTTTTCTCCCTCCAACTCCTAACCATTGGTCCCATTTTTGCCCCTTGGAACAAAACAGAATAAATCTAATCTCTCTATTGACAGATATTCCCCACATATACCTGTGCCTTAGAGGTTTTGTCAGTCAAAGTCCCAGCAGGTAACAGATGGCTGAGCCCAACTGAAAGCAAAGACCACAGGAGAGGAGACTGTCAATGCTCCATTCACATCAGCCTCATAGGGCCGAGAGCAGGTGAGATGTCTGGAGGTGGACATGAGAGGGGTAAGAAGACATCCATCCCAGGGATATTCCCATCACCAGTCTAAACACCCTTGGTTCTTTATTCATTCTTGGATGTCCATGGTCTCCATGGGTCTCTATCACACAGCTCATCTCTAACTTACAATAAGGGGGAAAGAACAGACAATGGTACATTGAAGTGCTTTGTTTTAGGAATCCTAGAACCTAAGTGACCTTAAGTGGGTACTTGAGAGTCCTTGGGTATAAAGAATCTCAAACAGATGCATAGCTAGGCACTGAGCCATAGCAGGCAGCTCAACCAATGACTTTCTTAATGTGTATTTACTCCTCCTCTCTGTAACCCAGCATAGAAAAGAAGGAGGGTGGTGAGGAAGGAAGGGAGAGGAAGAGAGGAAGGAAGGATGGAAGGCAGTATGAATTGCCCTGCCTTTACCATTTCTGCCCACCTGTTTTCCCAATTTAAAAAAAACATATTTCCTTAGAAACAATTATTCTTTAAAAATGACCCTGCCTTTAACCTTCATTAAAAAACTAAAAGTAAGCAAAACAAAACGACAACCTATGGAATGGGAGAAAATATTTGCAAAAGATGATGCTGACAAGGGCTTGATTTCCAGAATATGTAAACAGCTCATATGACTTAAGGAAGAAACAAACAACCCAATCCAAAAATGGGCAGAAGACCTAAATAAGCAATTCTCCAGTGAAGACATACAAATGACCAATAGGCACATGAAAAAAAATGCTCAATATCACTAAGTGCCAGAGAAATGCAAATCAAAACTACAAGGAGGTATCACCTCACACCAGTCAGAATGGCCATCATTCAAAAGCCCACAAATGACAAATGCTGGAGAGGCTGTGGAGAAAAGGGAACCCTCCTACACTGTTGGTGGAATGCAGTCTGATGCAGCCATTGTGGAAAACAGTATGGAGATTCCTCAAAAGACTAAAAGTAGACTTACCATATGACCCAGCAATCCTACTCCTGGGCATATATCCAGAAGGAACCCCACTTAAAAAGATAAATGCACCCCAAAGTTCATAGCAGCACAATTTACAATAGCCAAGATGTGGAAACAACCTAAATGTCCATCAACAGATGACTGGATAAAGAAAAGGTGGTATATTTATACAATGGAATACTACTCAGGCATAAAAAATGATAAAATAATTCCATTTGCAGCAACATGGATGTCCCTGGAAAATGTCATTCTAAGTGAAGTAAGCCACAAAGAGAAAGACAAATACCATATGACATCATTCATATGTGGAATCTAAAAAAAAAAGACAAATGAACTTATATAAAGAACAGAAAGTGACCCACAGAGAATATAGACTTGTGGTTGCCAGGGGGGAAGAGGGTGGGAAGAGGTAAACTGGGAGATTGAGATTTGCAGATACTGACTGGTATGTGTAAAAGACATAAACCAGTTTATACTGCATAGCACAGGGAAATATGTTCAATACTTTGTGGTAGCTCATGGTGAAGGGGAGTAGGAGGGTGGATATATGTACATTCACGTATGACTGAAGCATTGTGCTGTGCACCAGAAATTGACACAACATTGTAAACTCACTATACCTCAATAAAAAAAACTAAAAATAGACTTACCATATGATCCAGTAATCCCACTCCTGAGCATATATCCAGAGGGAACTCTAATTTGAAAAGATACATTCACCCTGATGTTCACAGCAGCACTACTTACAATAGCCAAAACATGGAAGCAAACTAAATGTCCATCAACAGATGACTGGATAAAGAAATTGTGGTATAGTTATATAGTGGAATACTACTCAGTCATAAAAAATAAAACCATGCCATTTGCAGCAACGTGGGTGGACATGGAGATCATCATTCTAAGTGAAGTAATCCAGAAAGAAAAGTACCATACGTTATCACTCATATGTGGAATCTAAATAAAAGACACAAATGAGCTTACTTACAAAGCAGAAAGAGACTCACAGTGAACCAACATGGTTACCAGGATGGGAAGAGGGTGGGAAGGGATAAATTGGGAATTTGAGATTTTCAGATACTAACTACTATATATAAAATAGATAAACAACAAGTTTATACGGTACAGCACAGGGAACTATATTCAATATCTTATAGTAACCTATAATGAAAAGAATATGAAAATGAGTATTTATATGTATGACAAATATTATCTTGTACACCAGAAATTGATGTAACTTTGTAAACTGACTATACTTCTATTTAAAAACAAAAAAATAACCTAAGAAAATAAGGTAAAACTAATTAAAAGAAAAAGGAAGTACCAGTTTAAATGTGGGCAGCTCTCTTGAGAGATGTGGTGGTACAAAGGGAAGCGTGTGACTTACACAGTCCGACGGACCTGGTCGTGCACCTCTGTCCTGCTGCCACTGCTGGGAGGTCTTGGAGGGGCTTCCGAGCCTCACCTTCTTCATCTGGAAAGCGGATTACAATGCCTTAGTGATTGATAGGCAGGTTAAGTAAATGGAGTAAAGTACCTAGTATCCTACCTATCACACAGTAGGCATCTTTTAAGTGTTATTTTATAATTAACTTAAATTATAATATACTTGTAGTTGCCTTTCTCCTCCTCCCTTCCATTGAAGTATTTGCCAAGTGAGGAGAAAGTCAGTATACGTGCAGACGAGTATGTGCCTGAAAGGCGGCTGCAGTGATTAAGAAGTGTCTTAGCAGCAGACTTCCATCCTGCCCCACAAAGGAAGGTCTAAGAAGTGTGTTGGAGATTTCAAAAAAGTGTAAATCATGAATAGTGAGAAACTTGAGCTTTTTCCCTTTGAGTTGCTTTGGTAAAGTTAGATTTCTTTTTCCTACTTATTACCACCAGACTTGGCCGGCCCCTGTGGGTAGCAGGTTCTGCCGCATGTGTCTCTCAGGGGTTTCCCCTAGTTACTGCCCGTGAAGTCTGCACTCCATCTCTTCCAGCCTTACTTAGCTTTAGACACAGACCAGACACCACAGACAGGAGGCTGGTTTGGATAAGGGGGCCAATTCAGAGATGCGAGCAAACATACCAGAAGGCACCGTTCATCCCCAGGGCAAGCACCTGGGGTTTTTTTATGGATTTTTGAAACGGAAGTCCAGGCAGGGCAGACCCTTCCTGCAGGATGTCCGCCCTTGTCTGCTCATCCTGAGAAAGGAGGACTGGGAAGGCAGCCTCCAGCAATAGGGTCCATCTCTGCCGTGGAGATCGTCATTCCACTGCCGGACACTTGTGAAGCAGAGGCACTGAGAACTGCCTGATTCCTGCCCTTCCACCCTGAACCGCGATCCTCAGCCATGAACCATCCCCACATCATGGGATGCTCCCGTGGAGCAGAACATACTAGTGCTGGCTTCTGATGAGGACTGGCGTCTGCTGGTCCTCAGAATGCCATCCTCTAATGCACTCGGCCTGGTGCACTTGACCTCAGTGACCACATTTGCTCACCACGTGGCAGAAGGCCACATCTTCTCCTCCTGTTCTTTTGCCCACCCCAGCCACCTCTGCCTGCCTTACTTTCATGAGAGCCTAGGTGAGGGCCAGCTGGCCGGCAGCAAGTGGCCCAGCCCACACTCCTCCATAGAAACCTCTGGCCGGTATCACAAATGTGGTGTCTCCTGGTTTTCCCTGCAGATGAAAATGAATGTCTCAGTGCTCACATTTGTGGAGGAGCCTCCTGTCACAACACCCTGGGGAGCTACAAGTGCATGTGTCCTGCCGGCTTCCAGTACGAACAGTTCAGTGGTGGGTGTCAAGACATCAATGAATGTGGCTCTTCGCAGGCCCCCTGCAGTTATGGGTGTTCCAACACTGAGGGCGGCTACCTGTGCGGCTGTCCACCTGGCTACCTCCGAATAGGCCAAGGGTAAGCACTGCTGTTTGTCATCATGGTTGGAGGCTGGCTCATTTATAACATAATTAAGTATATTTAACTCAAAATGACTTGTTCTACTAGAGGAGAACCATACTTTTTATGATCCTGGAGTTAACTCCAGTTAGCTCTGCAAAGGTTTTAGGTTATTTTATTTGAAAGGGGACATCTAGACTTGTAGAAGTTCATAAAGTGTCAAAGAAAATGATGACACTCCATTGGAAATACCTCGCTGTATGGCCTGTCTGTCTCATTCTCTCGATTGTCACATCTTGTTGGAAAGAGACTCATTTCTCAGGAAATGCAGGGACCACAGCCCATGACAGAACTGGCCCACGCTGCACATTGCTGATGCGACCTTGTCCTGGGGCAAGCAGGGTTCGGTCTTGACTTCAAGTGCCTTCTCGTCTAGCTCCTGTTAGGATAAAACAAAAAGACACATTTTAAAACTGTAAAGGACCCTGCAAAAGGTATTTTACATTTCAGACTTAAACTTACATTAAAAATCACCAAAAGATTATATATGAAATATAAAAAAAACAAACACAAATTTTATTTACAAGCCAGAAGTAGACTCACAGACATAGAAAACAAACCATGGTTACCAAAGGAGAAAGGGGGGATATTCTAAAAGTCACCAGAAGAGCATTAAATAGAAGAGTTAAAATAATGATGGTATTTTCCAGGTAGAATACTTCACCACATCAATAACATGTGAAAGTAGGGGCAGGGAAGATACACTTTTATTTTACTCACTGATTTAAAAGTTTAATGTTAAGTTTTCAAAGTTTAGGCCTTTTTCCCTGCTGAATTACTCTGGACTTGGTTGTCCATCTAGTTTTGGCTATCCTTTGAAGGATGTCAAATTTTAATTTTAATTAGGAACACACAGACATTTAATATACATACACACGTATACAGACCCCCTCCCACAGTTCCATGTTCCACAACACACACATATATATGTATATATCAAATTGTTAATTTTGCAGTCTTTGATTTCTTGACACACAAACATCAAGTGATTCATTCTGGGGCGTGGAGAAGGTAAAAGAATGTTTCATGGGAAGCACACAGAATGCCAGCAATAGGACTCAAATTCCCAGATGTTTATGTCTGGCTCTCAGTAGACTCATTCTTTGTAGGTCTAATGCCAGAACCATTTTCCCAGCAAAAATTGTGACACTCCACACTGGCTTCTGGCCAGTAGGACTTTATAGTCACACTTCTTGTAAGTGCTGTTCCAGGGATATGAAAATACTGGAAAGGCGTTCTGAGAAAGGAACCAAAGCCTGCGGATCTGGGGTTTGCCCTCCAATAATTTAATCATTGTGTGAATGTACACACAGGATGAGCATTTATCATTTCATCCGTTTTATTGTTTCTATGCATTTCATGGTGCAAGATAAGGAATGCGAAAGGAAAATGTGTTGGGCTCTGGCAGGATAACAGAAAAAAGAAGCTGCAAAATACAAAAAGTATTAGCATAGTATTTTGAATTATATTTGGAATCTTAAGGGCATAAAGGAAAACGAGTTCTAAAGACTAGGTCAACATAGAAAGAGCTAAATGCTATTTAGTCTACGTTATGACCCATGGTAGAAGTCCACCCATTTATAACAGTTGGGTTGCTCTGTGAATCACTGGAGTGAACCCTACCCCAAAAGAAAGATTCTTTTAGGATCATTCAGCTATTTCAACACATTTTGAAAGAGGAGCCTCGTAAATACATTCCAAGTGGCCTATGAAATAGTAAGCAGAATAACAAAACAAGGTACTTGTGAAACATGCAAAGCCTCCCTCCGAAACTTGGCTTTAAAAACTGAAAGGCAAAGAAAAACAGCTGAACTAGTTCTCTCTTGGGCATGGGTTTGTTTATCCAGCCTCACATGAGTCAGAGCCAGTGGACCTAGTGGTTTTGAATGACTTGAAACAATTTCCCACAGTTGGACAAGCTCTGATACATATATTTTATACATTGCATATCTTCAGTTTATTTCTAAATCAACCTCGGGTATCACCTGGAGCTTTTGCCAGTGAGGGGTCCCATAATAAGAGAGATGGCTCAGAAGCTGGAGTGATGAAGGCTGGCGATGGTGGTGGGGGTGGCAATAGTGGTTATCATTTGAGCAGGAAGAGGGCAAGGAACTGAACAGTGATGTCTCTTTCCTTTCTTTCTCCTATGGAGTCTGTTTTGCAAAAAGAAGGCATTTTGATTTACCCTCCCAAGTTATATGGTCTCCCTCGTCCCCTTTTCTTATTTCCACTCCACATCTCCCTCCCAGCAATACAGCTAAACGCCTGCCACCATAGGTTTGGGAGATGAAGGGGAAAATAAATATGCAAAACAGGGCCTTGAGAGATAGCAGAAAGAATCAGTCAACTCAGGGAACTGGGAATTCCAGGCCAGACACAGATGGCTTCCGTGTGGTTCTCAGAACCAGCCGATCATCCAGTGGACAAAACCTCAAGGGCTGAATGTCACCAGGCAGGGTCCAGGCTTCACCGGAACTCTTGCACCACCCTCCTTCGTCTCTCTGTTCTAATGAAAAATGTCTGTTCCCCTTTGGGCAGGCACTGTGTTTCCGGGATGGGCATGGGCCGAGGAAACCCAGAGCCACCTGCCAGCAGTGAAATGGATGACAATTCACTCTCCCCAGAGGCTTGTTACGAGTGTAAGATCAACGGCTACCCCAAACGGGGCCGGAAGCGGAGAAGCACGAACGAAACAGATGCTTCCAACATCGAGGTAAATCAGAAGGGGTTTTCTCCTGATGTCTCCTATTGCAGAAGGGCCTTCCAGAGTCCTGTGGTTTCCTCCGAGGATGCTCCAAAGTGTGAAAAAGCTCCCTGGGGAGAAAATCCAGACATTCCCCGAGCTCTGGGCTGCATTTTACAAGAATCTGTGGGGCTTTCTGAGTTTCTTGCTGCCTTTAGGGAGTGGCCATTCGAAGGTTTTCACATACTTGCTCATTTCCTCTGTCTCGCCAAAAAGAAAGTCAAACACCCACCCAACGTCTGCTGAAAGGACAAGGTCTGAGATCCAGAACAGCAAGTGGGCAGAACAGCAAAGTGACATAGTGCTCCCTCCACAGGGATGCCAAGTTCTGAAAGCTAGAGGCTCCTCTACTGAAGAGAGCCATGTGGAGTGTGAGGGAGCTTGGATTCTAGACAAAAACAACATGGAGCTCAAGCAGCCTGGTTTTCTCTGCCTACGGCTGCTGCAGCCTTTCAGTCAACTCAGAAATGCACAGATATTCACCCAGACCTCTGGCTGCGGGCCCGGAGAATCCAGCACATGCGGTCCCAGAGAGGCAAGCAAGAAGCCAGGTGAAAAGCATTGAATATTAGCAGATCATCAGAGTCAGGAAGTAGGTTCCTAGGTGTGTCCTTCGGTGGGGATGGTTTTACGTCAGTGAACAAAATTGAAATAAACTGGTTCTTTCTTAGCATCAGTGCTGTAACCCCTCCCCTGTGGTCTGGGAAATGAGATAAGTCTTTGGAAAGAAAATAATTTATTACAATAGTGGTTCTCAAGCTTGAGTGTGCATCTGAATCATCTGGAAGGATTTCTACAATAGATTTCTGGGAGACACCCTCAGGGTTTCTAATTCGGTAGGTCTCAGATGCCATCAAGAACTTGCATTTCTGACAGATTCCAAGATGATACAGATGCTCCCGGTCCCAGGACCACAGTCGGAGACCCACTGCATTAGAAAAACTCCAAATACAGGGAATTTCAACTTGACTTTCTTCTTGAGTTTATTTTTTAATATTATAAATATGTGCCTGTTTAACACATTTGTGGTTTACATAGTATTTTATGAATGTGCATTTCAATATAGTAGATGTAGCATGAGAAGAAAGTTGTGTTGGTGGGAGATGTGAGTCACGTGCTCTTTAGTAAGTGGCATATTCACCTTTTAACGTACTGCCATCTGTCTTCCCAGGATCAGCCTGAGATAGAAGCCAATGTGAGTCTTGCGAGTTGGGATGTTGAGAAGACAGCCATGTTTGCTTTCAATATTTCCCACATCAGTAACAAGGTCCGAATCCTAGAGCTCCTTCCGGCCCTTACGACTCTGACGAATCACAACAGATACCTGATTGAATCTGGAAATGAAAACGGCTTCTTTAAAATTAACCAAAAGGAAGGGATCAGCTACCTCCACTTCACAAAGAAGAAGCCAGTGGCTGGAACCTATTCATTACAAATCAGTAGTACTCCACTTTATAAAAAGAAAGAACTTAATCAGCTAGAAGATAAATATGACAAAGACTACCTCAGTGGTGAACTGGGTGACAATCTGAAGATGAAAATTCAGATTTTGCTTCATTAATTCACCATCCAGAGACCAAATAATTAAAAAACAAAGATAGATAGGTAGAACTGAATTCCCCCCACCCCAATCAGAATCTTCATATTATAGGTACAGTCTTTCACCACGTAAATTTCTATAAATAAGCACTATTCTTGTATTACAAAAGCAAGGTACAGGTGACTACCCTAGTTCAAAACAACCACTTTCTCAGGCTTCTCATGTATGTAGCTAAGCTACTTTGTCTCATGTGTTGATTCTTGAAAACTGGGACGTGTATTTCCATTGGGGGTTGGCCATCCATGCTGACGTACCATCCTTCCAGCAGACGTACAGGAATGTGCTTTCAATGGATGGACTGTTCTGTTTTTTTCAAATTGTAAAACTTTGCTTCTCCAAATACAAGTATTAGGTTGGCCATTTATACTATCTATTTGGTGCTAGTAAATTCTCAAACTAGATTTATAAATGCACTGTAATATTTACACAACTTAGAAACCAAATTCCAAGTATTCAGTTCAAATACTTCATTAATTTCAATCAACCAAAGTTAGTTCAGTAGCTTATCTCAGTTATGAGTATAATACATTACATGTAAATTAAGTGTGTGTATACTGTAATCGTGCTATTTTTTATCATTGAAACATTTATAAACTAGAATAATAATGCCCTTAATGTGAGGGTTTGTAATGGTGCTTATTAAGACCAAAGACTTGTTAAATGTATACACCAAGTGGTAATGAAATTTCTGTGACTGGCCCACACGTGCATGGAGGTCTAGGAGGACCAGGAAACAGCCTGAGCAACCAGAGGATCACCAGTGCATCCTTCGTCACACCTGTGCAATATGCCAAGATTACCCTCGGTCATTCCTGTCAACAAGGGGTCCATGTCATAAATGTCACAATAAAACAATCTCTTTTTTAGTGTACCCCTTGGCTTTGTGTTCTTGCATGGACGTGGGATTGGAGGGGCTATTCTGGAGCCCAATTAAAGTCTCCCGGAATTAAATTATCCTGGGTCTGTTAGCTACAGCTTGCCAAATGTATAACCACTAGAAGAACATTTACATATTTGAGTCAGTCCCTTGTTTTATTCATTCAAGATAGCAGAGTTATTTCTCACCAACAAGATATTTAGATTGTAGCATCATTCCTAAAACATGACCTAATCAATCCTGTGACTTTTAAACTACTGCATTTCAGTACTCAAAACATCAAGTTCAGTCATTGTCTTAGAGCACGTGTGTTTCATTACAAAAACTTTATCTTGCCCCCTCCCCTCAAATATACACACAGTGTTGGCAAGCGTAAAGTGTTCTGTCCTTTCTCCCCACCCCAACATCTGCTGTTAGTCAGTGCTAGTCTAATTACAAAGAGATAACCCCAAACTGAATCCAATTTGATGCTATAAATCATGTTTTCCGAATGTCCTAATTTGACAATGCTGCTTTAAAGTGCAATATTGAATATTTAACAGTTAAGCTCATTCAATTGATATGAATTTTTAAAATCCCTAAGGGCAGTAAAGGGTAGTGAAAATAAAGGTGAAGTGAGTTTGCTGCATGAAGGGAGAAGAAGCCACACAGGGCATGGAAAAGTCCTCTCAAAGTCTTTGGAAAGCTAGGCTAAAGATGGAGTAGGTATATTGTAGAGGACAAAAGCAGGCTCAGTCGGTGCAAAACTCAGTTTAGCACATACCATCTCAATTGTCAAGCTACCCACTGCGACAGTGGGTTTCCTTGTACTGTGGTGAGATCCTGGTACCAGTTAAAGTGTCAGTCTAGGCAGCCAGTGGACAAGGATGTTTTCTTCCACCTAACAGGCCATGAACATCCCCAAAGTATTTTTTTAACCTCTTATTTTGCCATCCAAAAAAATCTTGCTCATAATTGATGCTCAATAGAGATGAGCTGAATGACTGTTTTGGAATGGATCTGTACCTTGGTTAGGAAGTTAAAATATGACTCAAAATTTCCTTCTATCTCTACACCTATGGTTCTGATGGAAGTGTACTATAATTGTTAGAGAAGAATATATAGCATATGGTAAACAGCTTGCAAATGGAAAATGTCTTTGATAATTTAACCAGAACTGCATTACATTCAATAATGGATTTTCTTTATAACAACAGAGCAAAATAGAGTTGGCACATAGTAGATCACTTTGATATTTTTAATAGTCTCAGTCTGGATTTTATTTATTTCAGAGCCAACAATTTTCAACAGCATATTTTCCGCGTTTCTGACTGTAACGAAACATTTTCTTCATTGTTCCATTGTAAATATTCCTCTTGTCGGAACGTTTTTTTTTAATCCTGAGATTTAAACCTGTACCTTTTAATTGTCTGTGACCTTTTGATTTTACTTTTGGTGGTTACTTTTGGTTGGTTTTATAAATCTCAGAAGCTTGAAAACATCTTGTCTGTACTCCTCAGCCCATTTCATTTGCCAATAATTATTTTGTAAGTAGGGTTGAAATGAACTCAGCTGGCCTTATGAAATGTTTAAACTTGAACAAACAACTACATTTTTGTTCAACAAATAGCACTTCACTCAGCCAAAATTGCTTTGGACATTGCCATTCCAAGTATTGTTTAAACTTCAGGAATCATGTTTGTAAAATTAGATGAGCCAAAATAACAATTAGGTTGATACTATATTAATACACTTAAAAGTTTTATACCTGTAAATTGTAAGAGTTTAAAAAAAATCAGCTTTGTCCACAGAATGTACTTTATTCTGATTTTAACTGTAGTTCTCAGAGATATATTACAAATGTAATTATTGAATGGTTTAAAGACACTATTTTTAAATGCTAGAAGATTGCAATAAGGAGAAAGATGAGTTTTCACATACATAGCAGAAGACAGTTATCTCCCCTTTGCCAATTTTAAACATTTCGTTTAAAAAAAATTTTTACTTTGTTAAACTTTTTGAAACCCAATGCGAGACTAACATTATGTACTGCTAGGAAAGGATTCCCAGTATTATTCTGAGTTTACGGTAGAGAGAAACAAGGCGGCTATGAATTTGATTTTGCAAATTTCTGTGTATCCAAGACTGGGTTCACTTACAGGATTGGGTCTCAATGAATAGTTCTGACATTCTCACAAGTGTCTGTATAAACAAGAGGGTCTTGTACATTTGACACCTGACATACATTTGGCAGGACCTGGCAATGTCACAAAATCTGTTATTTCAACTAACTGCTAATGAATCCAAAATGTTTATTTGGCAAAGTCATAAACCTCTTTTCAGGACATGAGCTGTTGTGCATCCTTGATCCAAGCCTGAATTATGACTTCTGCCAATAGATGTCAGCTTTATTTTTACTGTTGGACAGTGAAAGGTGCATCCTTTTTAACTAAAGTCATAGCAGGTAAGTAAGTAGGTGTGATTTCCGACTAGCTCAATTCTCTGCTCTCGATGCATTTTTGTTCCACACAAATATTCATCGTCATTTTCAGTCCCTGCGACTATTCCCATTTCATAAAACAATGCAGCATTACCCTCTCTGTGCCCCCTCCTGCCCCTCAAGGGTTGGTTATAACGTCAACTAGAAGGTATCACATTTAGTGTATTTCTAGAATCCTTAGCTCGGGTTCAAAGTCAAACAACACTGAGGTAGTGATGTTTAGCAGAAAGCAGCTGCTCCCTTCAGCAGTTTCTGGGTAACTTTCATATCTCACTCAATGTGTTCTTTGCAGCTGTGCTGAGAGTTGCAGAAATCAGATGAGGTCTGTTCCATTTTAATGTAAAATTCTCTCCAGGGGAGAACTTAAATCAAACCTGAATGATTTAGCTTTTTCTTCTCCTGGAAATGATGATAACCACACACCCCATTGATCCCACCAGCCATTTACACAAGAACATCACAGGCCTGTGTGGTTGCGTCAGTCCGTCCGCATGGTGAGCTCTGCTCTGGGTGGCCCCCACAGCCCTACTGTGTAGACGGCCAGACTTGTCAGGAAAGATTAACAGGACCTTGAGGTATCAGAATTTCAAAGGCATGACAGGCTGGATTGGGTTTATGTCGGTATTTTTGTTGTTATGTAAAATAAGCATGGTGTGCTATTCGGTATTCCTGTCTCCGGTTGCACCGTGATTATTCCCCTTCAGCATGTTCCCGGCACCCGCCTCGGGCAGTTCTGTGATCCAACTCCAGAGACCCTGTGCCTCAGGAAGATTGTAAACTCCTAAGGCCTGCTGCTTCCTATACACTTGTAGACTGACTGTAACAGGCTCTCTTGTGGATCATTCACAGTGTCTGAATTGAAGCATTGAGCCCAGAGGTCAGTCTATTGCAGAACCAGCTCCTTTGGAGAAAACTGCTCCTGGCAATGCTTACCATGTCCTCTCTCACAGGCCTCGTACCCACCGGGAGACGGCATGGCAGCTGGGGGTACCACTCCTAAAGGCCGATGCTCTCAGTCTCAAGGTTTGCCCCCCCCCCACCGGGGCCTGTGATTATTGATGCCTTGTCATATAAAGAAAGTTTGCTGAGAGTTCAGTCGAGTCCTGAGGTCCTCAGGAGTGCCTGGTCCAATACTATAGGAAATCTGGAGTCAGACAACCTGTGATCAGGAGATTGGCCAAGATGGCCTAGTAGACAGACCCTGAGCTCACCTCCTCTCACATACCCCTCGGTGGGCAAACCACAAACTGGAGAATAATTACATTGCAGAGGTCCTCCCAAAGCAGTGAGAGGTCTGAGCCCTGCACAGGGCTCTCCAGCCCAAGGGTCCTGTGCTGAGAAAACAAGCTCGCAGAGCACCTGGCTTTAAAGGCCAGTAGGGCTTGCTTTCAGGAGCCAGGGGGCTGAGAGAAAGAGAGATTTCACCCTTAGAGAGTGCACACAAAATCTCACATGCTCCAGGCCTCAGGGCGGCAGCAGTCATTTGAGAGGAGCCTGGGTCAGACCTGCCTGCTAATCTTGGAGAATCTCTCGGGGAGGCAGGAGGCAGCTGCAGCTCACCCTGGGAACACAGACTCTGGCAGCAGCTATTCTGGGGGCTCCTTCTACCATGCAGACACCGATGCTGCCATGTGCCACTGTGGAGCCCTCCCTCGAGCTCATCAGCACCAATACCTGGCCCCACCCAACAGCCTACAGGACCCAATGCTCAGATGCCTCAGGACAAGCAATTAACTTGGTGGGGCTGTGTGTCCCCACCCACCACAGATAGGCTACCCTAAGACCCTTTGCGCCCACGGCCACTTCTGGACATGGCCCCATCCACCAGAGGGCCCAGGACACGTCTTTGCCCACCAGTGGGCAGGTACCAGTCCCAGAATTTCCTGGGCCCTGGTCCTGCCCTCCAGGGAGCCTGCCCTAACTTCTGGACTAGCTTGACCCACCAGGGGGCAGACACCAGTCTCAAGAAAACCACAGTCCTTCAGCCTGTAAGCTTAGCCTTCCCACCAGTAGGCCAGACCCTGCCCAGACCAGCCAGACCTCAGCCCCGTCCACCAGCAGGCCAACACAAGCTTCGGGATGTCCCAGACCCTGGAGCAAATCATGTCAAGAAATGCCCCCCAACCAGAGATCTAAAACCAGCTCTGTGACCCATGAGTCCTGCAACCAGACTCCAGGACCTGGCCCTGCCCACTAACCTCAGGACCCGGCTTCACCCACCAGTGGGCAGACAGTAGCCCCAGAGTCTTCTGGATCCTGGCTGCACACCAGTGAGCCAGCCTAAGCCCCAGTGTCCCCTGGGGTTCTGCAGTCAGCTGGCTCATGATCTGGTTCTGAAAACCAGTGGCCAGCAGCTTCCACACAAGGCGGGGCCACCAACGGAACCAGAGGTCAACCAAGCCTAACGGACTCCTCAGTCGGCCTGCCACAGCCTGCGCAGCCTTCCTGGGGGGGAGCCCCCAGCATGCAGCTGGGCTGATGAGACGGGAGTGTGCTGCTGGACACACGGGATGTC